AAAAAAAAAAAAAGAAACTTGTCACCCCTCGTCTCCATACGACGGTAAGTTAAAGGGGTCTATCCGTCATTATCGCTTAACATGTTCACCTGAAAAAGATTTCATAAGTTGGGTGAGTCTCAACTCAGTAGATAAAATGATATTCAATAAAATTTAGAGGCAAGGGAAAGAGTACAACATGTATATACTTCTAAGTAAAAAAAACAATCAATATGCCATATATATCAACTAAAGTAAAATGCTTCTAAGTCAATCTATATGTTCTCTTGCTTTGCATAAACTTACAACCCTTTTTCATTAAGAATTCATGATTCATTTGATACATCTTATACCTATAACATAATGACATGATATTATAGTAATATAATATTAATCACCTGTCACAGAAGTATCATTTGTTTTGTACTAATCATGTACATTTTTCAATTGGTCATTCTTTTATCATTTGGCTCCGAAGAGTCCATTTATCATTGACACTCTACATCAAACATACACATGCAAACATTCAATATTTATTCATAAAAGAAACTTTAACATGTCATTAATGCGTATGATCTAATGTTCCCATATGTTGCTACATGATTACACAATTTCATAAAAAAGGAGATATGATTACATATGCATTACGTATAAAAAGAAACATAAGCTTTGTACTTTCTACAATCATCACATGAGAGATATGCATTTGCATTATATATTCTAAAGTATTCACGTAAGAACATGCTAAGCCACATATGAAAGTACAAATTACATTTAAAAGATAAACTAATCACATGAGAGTATAAGACCATGATATCGTTCGGAAAGATAAAAATTTTCAAATTTTAAAGAGCTACATTTTTATCTACCTCACCGCAGTGTGTGACTTACCGATTGCCCTATCGAATTCTTCATTTACACGTTCAATATCTAAAAGAAACATAACACAATGTGTAGATGTCACATGTTCCCACATAAACTTTCTTAAATCCCTAAACTATGAGAATAAAGAACCTACCCATATGTTTTCTTAAACTTCCTAATTTAACCCTTTCCCAATTCTAATTAATCTTACTTCTAATTTTTCTAAATTTGAAATTTCATCAAAACCTTAACTTTTGAAAACTCATTTTTATCCATTACATAACACATGCTTAAGGAAACCTCCCATACACATAATCCATTCCATAACACATGCCAACCGAAGCAAAACACAAGGGACCAAAATATTCGGTCCCTTAAGGATTTAAGGTGTGTGGGAAAATTACACATGTGCCCTTCAAGCCTAAAACTTCCCTTAAGAGTTAGGAGGGCTATTTAGACATTAGCAAAATAATTTTTATTGATATTTTCTTCATCCTATTGATATTTTCTTCATCCATCTTTAACTTCAAATTCACATGAAATTAAGTACAAGTCTTTTATATCATATCGATTGAAATTTCGCGTAGAATCTAACAAAATTAATTGCGTCGAATTCCGACGACTTCAAAATTTCGTCTAATTTAGTTGCGGCACATCGAAATATGTGTGACGCCGATGATCAATATTTTTCGGGTTTTACAGTTGGATCCTTAATCTGAAGCCATCTCAATCAAGAAGCCACAGCTCGATCCGCACCAAATGTACCTTTTGAAGAAGAGAATAACATAAATCTGCTACCGCGTCCAGTTTTAGCTCCCATATGGCCTATAAGACATAATACAGAAGAGAGTCTTCAGGTCCACATAAGATTTGAGAATCCGGGGGCAAAATTAGTGTTAGGATACAAAAAGACAGATATTTATTACCTTTGCTTACAGCTGACATTGAAGCGCTGCTCCTTCAGTCATAGTAGTCTTCCACTGAAGAATCCGAATTAAGAAATTTATCAACATATTAAAAGCAAAAAAAATTGGCAAATATCAAAGAAGTTCAGCAATATCTGTTCTGGGCTTAAGATGTAACATAATAGAGCAACTTTGTCATGAGGCCAAAAACTGGCATATCCACAGAGAAGAGGATGCTTTGATATGCTTACCTGGGTCGTCATCTCTGTTGAAATCATCCTCATCATCATCAAAGTATTCATTCTGTGCAGAAAAATATATAATTCAGTTGACTTTCCAGCAATTATTTATATATCTAATTCAATTTTCAGTCTTAAGAGATGTTTAACGAACATTGGGCCAAGATTACTAAATAGAAACTCAGTGAACAAGCTAAAATCCATTAAATCACTATCTAATATACCCTCTCTTTTTTTTTAATCACTATCTAATATACCTTCAAGTTATTATGATTATTTACTAGGTCATCCATCTACTATTAGAGAAGGATAAAACTTAGGCTACGTTTGGGACAGTTTTTTATTGCTTTTTAAACAGATTTTTAGTTTAAAAATTAAAAATTTTATACTAGAAAGCTATTTTAAGAAGTAGTAAACCGTCCCAAACGAAGCCTTAGTAATGTAATCCAAAAACAGCCTATAGACCAAACACACAGACCATCCTGGCAACAAACCTCATCGAACACTCTGAGAAGTCAATGGAGTTGTACAACAACAACAACATCAAACATACTTGAAAAAGAAGGTGATAACACAAAAACATCCCTGAAAAGATCATAACATGATAACCACACTAAAAGGTTTTTCAAGATTTAGCTAATACCTGAGCATAATCATCCTCCGAGCTTTCTGCCTCTTCATTCTCTAAATCTTCTTCCTCTTCTTCATCACCATCTTTCTTTTCCTTTACACTATTATCCTTTCCATCACCATCCTGGAAAATCAGATAGATGCTTGCATTTTCATTTGCTGGAAGATTATCAGAAGCACAAGGTACAGGAAGACTTCGAGTGACCAGTACAAAGTTTAGTTCGATGTGAAGCAATGTGTTCCCATGAACAGGGTGCGTAAACAGAGAAAATGGTCGAAAATGTGAGAGAGATGTGATCGACCGAAGGGGCCAGGAAAAAATGGGTTAGGGGGGCAGAGAGATGGAGGGATAAAAGATGGAAAGGAGGGGTGTGGAATATCAAAGGTAGAAAAAAAGAATTGTAAATAAAATACAAGGACAGCAGCTTCAATGGGTTAATTACCACTTCATAGTTGTTCAACTTGCTAAAAGTTCAAAAAATATGTAAAGAGAACTATAATCTTCATTCACTCACCTTCTCTTTCTCTTCAAGCTTGTCAAACAAACTGAATTCATCTAGTGCCCAAAAAAAGAGAAAATTTGAAATAAGCATTGTTCCTTCAAAATCACATTGTTGCATATATGTGTGTGTGTGTGTGTGGACTCGGTAAGCAGAAGCAAAATCAGGCAGAAGTGTGCTGTGGATGCGCCAAAGCAAAGGTAAATACCAGTCTCATCAGCACACCAAAGCTTTTAATTTTAGTAAGCGACTTGATTTTGATGAAAAGAACCCTCTTAGAATAATAGTAAGGGCACTTGGTGAGCATAATCACAAAGAAAAAGAAGAAAGTTAACCTCAGCAGTAGCTACAGAATTAGCATCTAGCTACTTGAAAACTGCTTTAGAATTTAACTCGAAAATGATCGACATTTAGAAAACAAACCCATTAAAAAAAGAAAAAAAAAAGAATTTATATATACCATGAGAAATTCACTGCAATGGGCTCCAAATCACTAGCTATGGAACGGTTAGCATCATAATATGTTAAGATAAATTTTATTAATTCACTCGTTGAATAAGAACTAAACAAAAGTATTTGATATAGAGCTTATAGATAACATATTCACTAAGGAAGACCAAGTCAAATAGTCAATTTCTGCCAAACCTCGTTTTGTATCCCAACGAAGTCTTTTGCTGTCGTGTCCCCTTTTTCCACCTAAAACAAATGAGAACTATCAGCTGTCTCCAAAAACTCTAAAAATTACAGTAGCTTGACCATAATAATCAACTAGTTCCAAAAGAAAATTAGAACAACATTTATCAGATAGATTATAGCTTCTATCTCAAAAAGTTAAACTTTCAAGAGCCAGTCAGTTAAAGCTGCTAAAGAAGGCACTATACCTTGTATCAGTTCAGCAGGGAAATTTGACACATTAAGCTTCATATAAGTTCCAAAATGTTGTGGTTGCTGTCCCTTGCGCTTAAGCTTCTCAGCATATTGCTCAATCTCAGCATCTTGTCTTTCTGACATTAACATTTTTCCCATGACAACGGTGAGACCAATGTTTAAACTAGAGCGTAAGAAAAAACTGGAGCCAAAAAAACACTAATTTAATGATGAGACAATATGTGACAAGGAAGCAGAGTGAAGCAAGGAAATCAGCTGAGGCTTCGTTTGGGACGGCTTTCTTACTGCTTCTTAAAGCAGCTTTCTAGTATAAAAATTATTAGAAAGCTGCTTTAAGAAGCAGTAAGAAAGCCGTACCAAATGAAGCCTGAATGAATACCAAGAGTTCAGTTATATTAGAATGGTCCACAATATGAGACAATATTCGATTTGCAGTTAAATGTTCACAATTTTTTATCTTCAAACTCCAGTAAATATCTTATGTACATAACATACAATAATTTGGGAATGTCATATCAAAAGGGATAGACATGTTATTGATAGTCAAGAAACTATTTTAAGCTTTTACTCATTTGTACATCATATTCAAGAAAGATCAAAAAACATCATGTTCATTTAGTTTTAATAGTTAGATTTTTCTCAAGTAAAATTTCTCATGATGGTGATTCACAGCTCATATCATTAAGTCCATAGATGTGATATCTAAATGACTTTATTTTAGAAATCTACTATCAATGATGTTGTTAGGAAATACTTGAAGATCTCAAGTAAACCCTAACAATAGAAACAAAACAACGAGAAACTTCACAAAAACTGATGGAAAACACAACAAAAATAGTAGTTTTATTGCAAAGGAAGAACTAACAGAGCAAGGAAAACAAGATACAATTAATCCTCAATTCGGAAAGAGGATCATTCTCTCCCAATCCCTCCCTCTCTCTCTCTCTCTCTCTCTCTCTCTCTCTCTCTCTCTCTCGCCACTATCCCTCCTTTTGTAAACCTGAACCGACCCATTAAAAGGGGTCGATTTAGGCTGAACCGGCCTAACAATACCTCCCTCCCAAAGAATCACATTGTCCTCAAAGCGCAAGGAAGAAAAATGATGCTTCATCCTCTCACAAGGCTCCCATGTCGCTTCGTAGTCCAGAAGTTTCTTCCACTTGATCAGCATTTCCTTAGCTCCATCTTCTCTCTAGAGAACTGCCATCAGCTCCAAGGGTCCTAGAATCACCTCTAGATCCTCAGTTAGCGTCATTGATAACTCAGAGCTTGCTGCATAATCTCCAATTGCCCTCCTTAGATGTGATACATGGAATGCCGGATGTATAGTTTTCGTTAATGGTAGTTTCAGTTGATATGCCACAGCTCCAATCTTCTCCACTATCTCATATGGCCCAAAATACCATGGGGCAAGCTTCTTATTCCTCCTGTTGATGATTATCTTTTTTTTGTAAGGTCAGAGCTTCAAGAATACCCTCTCCCCTACCTCGAATTGGATGTCCTTCATATGCCCATCTATTTGTTTCTTCATAAGTTGTTGGCCCCTTAGTAGATGCCTCTTCAGTTCTTCTAGCACCCTATCTCGCTCGTCCAGATACTCCTCTATTGAAGAAATTGGTGTGTTCCTATGCCCAAAATTCACTAGATGAGTAGGGTCTGTTCCATACAACACCTTGAATGGAGTCATCTGAGAAGTAGAATGATAAGAGATATTGTACCAATACTCGGCCCACCCTAGCTACTTGTCCCATAACTTGGGTGTCTCCGACACAAAGCATCTTAGGTAAGTTTCCAAGCTCATGTTGACCACTTCTTTTTGGCCATCCATCTGTAGGTGGTAGGCGGTGCTCCTCTTCAATACTGTCCCATATAGCCTGAACAACTCCCTTCAAAAATGGCTGAGGAACATCTTATCCCTATCGGATACTATAGCTTATGGTATTCCATGCAATCTAACCACCTGTTTGATGAGAGCTGATGTCACTGTCACTATGGTGTATGGATGCCATAATGGAATGAAATGAGCATACTTGCTCAATCGGTCCACCACCACCAGGATCACTATGAACCCTTCTAATCGGGATAATCCATCTATGAAAATCAAATCAATCATATACAAGAAGCATTGTTCATGTTCCTAGTTGTCGTTGATTTTATGATACAGGGATCATATCTAGTTTGTGTTCAATTACATAATTTTATATTATGATTTGGACAAGAGTAAAACCTCAAAATAGTCCCAGGACTATTGATAAATGTCCAATATAATCTCAGAGTTTCACATTCCTCCAATTTAGTCCCTAAAACATTAAAATTGTGCCAACTTATTCCTCATATGTTATATTTCTCTGGCAATGCCTATTATGCTATCTGGCTATAGTCGCAAGTTTGCTTTTTCCTCTTCTTTGGTTGTTCGTTGCTCTTCGACATCGCCTGTTTCGCGTAAGAGATAGAGTTTTGAATGAGTCACTAAATAACTTCTTTGTCTTCTTCAACTAAGTTCCTTCCTATTAAATCCGAAGTAACACCTCCTTGTCATTCTTCTATAAGATCGGAAGTAATGACGGGAGCTTGCTCATTGTGAAGGTAGCCATCTTTCTTCATGTGTCCAAATAGCCCTGCATGGTGTCCCGCTTGTGGTGTGTCGTCTGTCTTGCAGCTGCATGCAAATCCAAAATGCAAATCGAAGCACGCCTTGCTCGCTCGCGCCACCCTGGGTTGTTCGCGTCTCGTTCTAAGTAGCTTCACCTCGCACAAATCGATCGCCAGGGCATATAGCAGAAACGAGTCGAGGGGTTATAACGGGAAGCGTAAACAGATATTTTACCTAAATGCCCCCAATGAAATGAATCTCTTTGGCTCTCCCCGTTAATTTAAACAGCCAAGAGCCAATTTGGCTCAATTTTAAATAGTCAACGAATTAAAATAGGGCAGTGCAAAACTCTGGGACTAAATTGGACATTTATTGATAGTCAAGAAACTATTTTAAGCTTTTACTCATTTGTACATCATATTCAAGAAAGATCAAAAAACATCATGTTCATTTAGTTTTAATTGCTGGATTTTTCTCAAGTAAAATTTCTCATGATGGTGATTCACAGCTCATATCATTAAGTCCATAGATGTGATATCTAAATGACTTTATTTCAAAAATCTACTATCAATGATGTTGTTAGGAAACACTTGAAGATCTCAAGTAAACACTAACAATAGAAACAAAACAACGAGAAACTTCACAAAAACTATGGAAAACACAACAAAAATAGTAGTTTTATTGCAAAGGAAGAACTAACGGAGCAAGGAAAACAAGATACAATTAATCCTCAATTCAGAAAGAGGATCGTTCTCTCCCAATCCCTAGACGAAGTTAGGGCCCAAGACACCAAGAACAAGACTCCAAATCAACCACAATAATCAAGAATAACCCTAACCCTAATTCCTCCCTCCTACTTAAAGCATACAATTAATCATTAAAGCCAAAAGACAAATCAGCCCTTGTCGGGCTCCCAAACATTTGAATTTGAATCTCTAGTGGACCCCACCTCCTCTCTCTCTCTCTCTCTCTTGCCACTATCCCTCCTTTTGTAAACCTGAACCGGCCCATTAAAAGGGGTCGATTCAAGCTGAACCGGCCTAACAATACCTCCCTCCCAAAGAATCACATTGTCCTCAAAGCGCAAGGAAGAAAAATGATGCTTCATCCTCTCACAAGGCTCCCATGTCGCGTCGTAGTCCGGAAGATTCTTCCACTTGATCAGCATTTCCTTAGCTCCATCTTCTCTCTGGAGAACCGCCATCAGCTCCAAGGGTCCAAAAATCACCTCTAGATCCTCAGTTAGCGTCATTGATAACTCAGAGCTTGCTGCATAATCTCCAATTGCCCTCCTTAGATCGATGTGATACATGGAATACCGGATGTATAGTTTTCGTTAATGGTAGTTTCAGTTGATAAGCCATAGCTCCAATCTTCTCCACTATCTCATATGGCCCAAAATACCATGGGGCAAGCTTCTTATTCCTCTTGTTGATGACTATCTTTTTTTTGTAAGGCCAGAGCTTCAAGAATACCCTCTCCCCTACCTCGAATTGGATGTCCTTCATATGCCCATCTATCTGTTTCTTCATAATTTGTTGGCCCCTTAGTAGATGCCTCTTCAGTTCTTCTAGCACCCTATCTCGCTCGTCCAGATGCTCCTCTACTGAAGAAATTGGTGTGTTCCTATGCCCAAAATTCACTAGATGAGGAGGGTCTGTTCCATACAACACATTGAATGGAGTCATCTGAGAAGTAGAATGATAAGAGATATTTTACCAATACTCGGCCCACCCTAGCTACTTGTCCCATAACTTGGGTGTCTCCGACACAAAGCATCTTAGGTAAGTTTCCAAACTCATGTTGACCACTTCTGTTTGGTCATCCGTCTGTAGGTGGTAGGCGGTGCTCCTCTACAATACTGTCCCCTATAGCCTGAACAACTCCCTTAAAAAATGGCTGAGGAACATCTTATCCCTGTCGGATACTATAGCCTATGGTATTCCATGCAATCTAACCACCTCTTTGATGAGAGATAATGTCACTGTCACTATGGTGTATGGATGTCATAATGGAATGAAATGAGCATACTTGCTCAATCGGTCCACCACCACCAGGATCACTATGAACCCTTCTAATTGGAATAATCCATCTATGAAATCCATGGATACCTCCTCCCATATCCGACCTGATAAAGCTAATGGTTTTAGTAATCCTCCTGAAGACATGATCATATACTTGTTCCATTGATAGATCTCACATCTGGCTACCAACTCCTTCACATCTTATGCATTCCCTTCTAGTACAGCTTTGAAGCTAGTCTCATGTATATCTTATGCACCCCAGAGTGACCCCCAACAGCGCTCCCATGGAACTCCTGTAGCAAGTGTGGAATGTGGACTGATGTCCTAAGCATCACAAACCTTCCCTGGTAAAGAAGTCTCTCCCCCTCCAAAGAATATCCTAGGTGGCTACCCCATTCCCTTAATAAATCATCCCTGATCTTTCCCAACTCTTCATCCCTATCACTCTCCTCCTTTATGGCCTCCCAATCTAACATCAATGGGATCGACACTATTGTTG